TACGTGTTTCGATAAACATAAATAAGTTGCATTTAAATTATATTTCATTACCAACAAAATTCTTGAAATTTATTGTACTTGAAGTTTTCAAAACGTTTCTTGTTTCTCGTAATTATAACCTTCAGTTCTAAATACTTTTACATTATGTAAAAGATTAAATTGATAAAATCACGCAATAATCGATCACGACATTATCACAGTCTTCTGATCAATAACCAATTACCTCCTGTAATCTGAGGTGAAGATTTTTGTACAGTAGGTAATCTATGGCTTACGAAATTCTTGTCAAGCTTATCGCAGAGCTATCGAGACAATTTGGTGAAAATTAAGTGGACGACGAGGAGTAATGGATGTTCGAAATTCTCTCTTGTACATTGTCAAGTAATTCAGTCTCAAGAATCATAAAAGTCTTAAAACTCTTGAAACTCTTGAAACTCTTGAGTAGCAATGGGCTCTAAAATAAACCGCGCATGCTTCGAATTGCTTCGAAATTGAGATTCAAATGGTTCTCATTATTCTTGAAAATGAAGAAGAACGTGTATTATTATGCAAATCTGAAATCTGAATTGAAATTATTCAACATCTAATTAAGTTGTGTAGGGCAAGTTGCTTCATGCATTTGGAGCATACTCGACTGTGCAGAAAGTATGTAAACTGTACATATAATGCACAATGAATAACTTTCAAATTTCCAAATTCTCGAATGCCAGAATTTAAAAATGTTCAAATTTCTAAACATCAAATTTCTTAGCTTTCTAAATTTTCGAACTTCTTAATCCTCTACTCTCAAACTCCCAACTTCCTAATGTCCAGACTTCCTACTTTCTGAACACGTTTGTTGACTACAAGAAACATGAAATGATAGCAACTGATAGCTCGTGAAATATGTGAATGGCAATATATTAAAATGTTCATAACACTCTTCCTGTAGTAACAATTTAAAGCGTTAGAAGCTGGAAGAGTTTCGTTACAGTTATTAAGATTGCAGAGGGCACTAAACACATGTTAATGTTAACAGACATCGTTCCAAAGTCATTTAAGCTTTTATACGTTCATCGTAAACCAACCGCGTTTCTGTTTCACGTTGAATAAGTGATATTGCGGTATTTAATAGGGTAATAACACCACTCAACAAAGACATACAGACGTTGAATACGATATGTTGCAATCAGTTTTTTGAGAAGCTGTTTAATCGCCGTGGTCCCGGTCGTAATGGACTAATAGAACGTCAAAGAGATTCCTGACCAGTAAGGACTGTCTTTGAAGCATCTGTTACCGGTTCTGTGTGTAACACGCTGTAAAAGATACTAGCTAATTACACAGCGATGCACTATGGTTATCGACCATTTCGTTTGCATACTTCGCGTGCCCTTTGATAACGTAATAAATTTTCATGCGTAATTATATAAACGATTGGGTTTCTGTCAACATTATGGGGCAGGATGTCGCGCTCAATACGAATTTATTGTGCTTTGAAATCAATTTTCATAAAATTGGATTATATCTAGAATTGATATATTATATGCATGATCGTTAATAACTTCTGGTATTTGTAATGGACACATTTCCTTACAGGGAAAATAAATATGAAGCATGGTTAACATATTTAAGGACTGGAATGCAGATTTAATCATATTATTATAATGTGTAGCAAATTAACATATACCGATTAAACATATAATAATATATTACGCGCTGATACATCTATAAATACAGCAAATGGCGATGTAATGTGTGCCGATATAACACATAAACATACAGCATGTGATCCATACGTGGTGTTTTAACACGTGACCATATAGCATAGAGAAGATTGAACTTTCATCATTCACGTATAAAAATTGATGTCAATAAATTATTCATTATATATTATTTAAAAAATGCTTACATGTATAAATATGTATATACATCTTTTAAGTAATAAATAATAAATTTTTTGTAACACCAGCACCTTGAAATGACAAGAAAAGTGGAAAGACGAGGTAAAACAAACGGATTCATAGATAACACTGAACGTTATTTTTACCACTGCAAATGACACCAAGTTTACAGACGATTTAATTTATGTGTATAGCTTCTGTCAACATGATAATAAATATGCGTATACGTGAAGACTAACGTGTTTTCATGAATGAGATCTGGGATCGTGTGATGGATGAAACCACGTGATAATAATGTTTCGAGGCAGTTCATAAAAAGGTATTATTAACTCAAACGGTTTGGTGGATATCCCGTTTGCGCTTTCTTGTCTAAATGTGGCACCGACCAAACGCATAGTCGTTAAAGACAGCAGTGATACAAGACAGTCCAAACTTCACCCTAGTAAAAATATTTAGCTTTTATTTCCCCTGCATCCTTCTGTTTCCCACGTGTAAACGGTGTGACTTTTTTTTAGTTCATTAGGGTTAACTTCAGTGTCGTATGTAAACTAAATGTTCGTTTTGTCAACACTTTCCGTTCGACCTCACACAAAACTAGTTTCTATTTTAGTTCTCTTTTAAACTAGATAATTTATGCTATTGAAACAAAACACGCGTATGTATCATATCGTTGATTGGCACCGATGGTGACATAACTCATAAAATTTCAAATTTTTATCGAACACAAGGTTACAACATGCTTCCATTTTTATCAGGAGAATTAATTTTTATCATATACAATATGCGTAGAAGATAAATTTTAATTCTATTAGAAGATCTATACCTTATCTTGTTAAGGTTAATCAAATTCAAGCTATTCAACGTAAGTATTTTATTTAGCGAAGGAGGTGAGTTGAATCTGATGGTTAATTTTAAGAGACAACTTAACACCCTGACGATATTCAGAGACAAACGTAACTACTTTGCATTGTCATTAAATGTCAAAAGCGCGCGTAGTAAGTTTGCCGATCGTGTAAGTTTCAACATTTTCGCCGGGACCTTTGGTGTTCACGATTCGAACGCACGTGCAATGCCTCGTGTGTTCGAAATCAACTTTTCACCGCTAAACCTGGAGGACAACGATGGCATTACATACTTTCTATTTCCCATTGACTTTCAATGAGTGAGCCGTCTGGCACAACGATCGCGTATCGAGTCAGGATGTTTCGCGGCGTGCTCGTTCCTCATTTCCCTTTCCCGTTTAAGGAACGCCCTAAATCGGTGCAAGCAATTGGTAATAAATCCATCGTTGATCGTTCAATCTCAGGAACGTTTTGACCTTGCCTCTTTCTTCGATCGTAGACAGCATTTAATCTGGAAGTAACGCGCCGCTCTACTCTATTATTAGAGAAATGGAGGAGTATCGCTTTAGTTTGCTACCGGTTTCTTTCTGCGTCGTTTTGCAGTGTTCACGTCTGCGTTGCATGCACGCTGTTTCTTCATTTTATTTTCTTGAAATAGTATTCCACAGCAATTACATAGTTAGAATAAGTCAAATTTGTTCGTTATTCATAAGCAACGAATTAATTTCATTTGTCATCATATAAATAGTAAATAAAATTATTCATTATTTTTTAATCAATATTTGAAGTCTTCAGAAGAAAGAGAGTTAACAAATTTCTCTTCCAATAAGTTCTATTTATTTATATGTATACACTGTCTCACTTAACAATTATCAAAATCGTCGTACACGGTTGGAACAATAAGCAAGGTTTAATATACTGACATTAAATAAAAACATTAATCATAAAATATTACTCATAAAATAACTTTCTGCGTTCCATCTTACATTCCTAGTTCTCGTGTAAATTTCTATCTGTGATCCCTATTTCATAAAGCATATAAATATTTTATTACATAAAACAGTGTTTCTTTATATACACTTTTTATTATAAGTACTTTTATATTTGATACTTTGTCTGTCCTTACTTTTTTACAAACATAAGGATAAATTACTACATCAATAATTCTATTCTTATTTAAATAACATTTTGTACATTTCTCTAATTTTGCTACTGAATATCGTTTCAAGGGGTATTTTTGAACGAAATATGTGTTGACTTTACGATGCGATTTTTAGAAATGCTATTTTTCGAGCAGTTTGTATATTCCCATTTCTACAAAACAAAACCATTGGAGACATAAGCCAGATGCATGGGAAACGTTCCATAAAACAAAAGACAAAAAAACAGGCGCGAACTAGCGGAATGTGCAGAGATCGTAAGATACTGCATTTATGTGCTCATTCTCGAGTGAATTTCAAAACAGATAAATAAAAAAATGTATTATTACTATCTATTACTATTTTAATAAACGCAAAGATGAAATCAAACAAAACTTAATCTATCATCTGTAAAAGACGTTATCAGTAAATTACCCGAAAACTACAAAAGCCTACAAAAACTGAGATCAGCCAAAAAAAAGCTAAAATTCCCTGAAGAAATGACATATGATTTATTTCTTCATAAACACAAATATACCGTATCTTCTTAAATACTCCAGAAACAATAAACGCGCAATAAATCTTTGACACGAAGCTTGACTAAGAAATTAATTACAAAACGCCATCATGAAAATGAAAACAAACGCGAAATGCACCAATCGCGGTCCAAGTCTATAAAAGATTAAAGTTCAATTTCGGTGACCCGTCTCTTTATCTGTCATAGAAAAATAGCTTCCTAACAAGTTTATCGGCTGCGACTATTCCTGTTATCGATCATTAAATTCCAGCCGGAGTCGCCCGGGCGTCTGTGTACGCCACGAGAGAGCGATCGCTTGCGTAACACCGGAGTACGGGATGATGCATTCTACGTTATCATTGGGCCGATCCCGAAGGAGGCTCTTTAATTCCAGCACGAAAACAGAAACGTTCGTACGGCCTCGACCCGAGCAAAAGTTCGTCGAGGTTGCCGAGCCAGAGGCCAGCCTATATATTTTCTTCTTTCTTTCTCGGACAGTTTCCACCATTTCTCTTCCTCGCTCAGCGGTGCTTCGACACGGGAGTCGAGAAAGGTCGAAGCTAGCCGGAGGTAGTCGACTGGCGTCGAACGGAACCGTGGAGAGCCGAGCGCAGAGGCTGCGGAACGAGCACGCAGCAATCGAACAGCATCGTCAGTCCCTCACGGTGAGCCGGTTCAGTCGGTTATCTTCGTTCGTCTCCGTTGTTTCGAACAGTCGTTCTCGTAGGTGGCTGCGTACACGTTCCTCTGTCTCTCTCTCTTTTTCACTCGTGTCGAACAAAAGTCCCTCAGTGTTTGTAACCCCCTCGTGTTATCTACACACATCGCGGACGATCAGTGCGTACGATTTTGTTGGTGGACAAACATCATCGACGACGAGGCTGTTCAGTTTGTGGATTTCTACCCTCTGCATCCCTGTGGATTACTCGGCGTCCCGCAACGGGATCTTCTCTATAAGGTAGGATCTTGACGTTTCACTAACCGAGACGTATCGTATCGCGAATTATGTTCCGTGCGTCTATCACTGCTGATCGTGTTTTTGTTTTCCTTGCGCTGTTACGTCGCGGGCGATAGGTGAATTGCGTGTTACGTTCATCCGATGAATGTGTCAGCGAAACGTTGCGTCGAAAATACGAATCGGAGCAGGACCTTGAAATGAAGCGTGTTTCGAGCGCTTCTCGCTTGACCGTCGCTCGGAAACGTGCGCCTCGTAATCGTGATTGCTAAGATCGTTTCTCAAACGGTGTAGTTACAAAACGATCTGTAACCAGTCAACCGAATCCGGGCTTGAAATCGTAGAAACGGAGCCTCTCGATACGACCATCTAATTGATCGCGTATACCAGTTTCCCTGCTGTGCAGGTAATTCGACCTGCTTCTGGAACTGGCGTTGCATCCGTAAAAGATTGGAGTTCAGATATCGATTCAAAAATTTAACCGGTCGATACTGTGTATGTCCTCTTGGCTGTCAATTCGAATCTGGTGAATTCGTTCTGTTGAGAAAGAATCGTGTAGGACGTAGAAAGTGGAGCTGTCAATTTATGCGATACCTGGCCATCAGAGTACCTGATACTCAAGATACTGCATGAAATAGTTGAAAATCTCGTTTGGGACGTCGATCGTCATTTGGACATCGTCGATAAACATTGACGGTGAATAAAATAACCTCCATGTAATGAAATATCGTATTTATCGAGTATTTTCGAAAATGTGATCATTGATTACTCTTGTCTCGAACCGTGATCATTGACGTGGGCCGTGAGCAGGCATGAACGGTTTTATGATCAGTGCTATGATCGTAAGGTGGCTTTTAAAATCTAAGGACTCGTACACTCCTTGTCACTTACGTTTCATAACGGAATTAAAATCGAAGTCGAAACTTGTTTATTGATCGCATATCGTATTTTATTCATAAGTACTCGCTGTCTATGATCAATTATCGAGTTACAATCTTGATAAGAACAAATTCGTGGGCTTTGAAAGACACCTTGAATGCTGTATTTATTGAGCGCTTATTGGTCACTCGTGTTATAACTGATCATTGATCATAGGTCACGAGCATTCATTAGCGAAATATCATGATAACTGTAATCATGTCTTTCGGTTACTTCTATGCATGAAACAAGTTGAATATTCATCAGATGGAGTACCATTATTTGCTCATTTATCCTTTTATCTTCGGAAGGTGTTTAATCTTCACTTTAAAAATTTAAGGAGAAATAAATAGAATATCACTATTTGATTCATACTGTGAGATTTATTAAAATTTTTTATTTTCTTTGATGTAATTAATGGAGTTGGATGAATTTCAAAATTCATCTTCAGCCATGTCCAAGTTTTTATGAGAATTATTTTACACAAATTGTGAAATTTATAAGTATTTTGCTGCTAAGTTTTTTCTTTTGAAAAATTAGGTCGTATTTTATGGTTTTCTTCTCATACGTCAATATACTTTAGTGACGTAAGTTATGTCTAATTTTTCACTATGAGGAAGAAATATATATATACACATATTGTATTTTGATGAGTTTGGAGAGCTCTTATTTTTCATTGAAAATAGGTTGTTGAAATAATTAATCTTATCATTTGCAAAATAAGACTTGAAATAGAACGTTCGAAATGAAACAGACTTCTTACGAGAAAAAATCATGAACTTATAAACCTTTTCTATTTCTTCATCTTTTATATTGGTTTCATGAACATGACTGTAACAAATGAGTTAACTACAAATGAATTGAAAATAAAATTTTTTAAATATCAGTATGAATTGTTTCTGATTTGCTTTTATTATTATATAATGACGTTATTACCAGACTGTCGAATCTCATTTGTGCACAATTAATTTCTTGGAAGGTTCTCTTACGTCTTTCGAAACAAATGTGTTCAAAGCTCTTGATGACAGAACAGCTGTTAATGTGCAGTATAAATTATCTTGCGGCAACTCATACGTAGTAAGAAACAGAACTCTTTAATAAATAGACTGCGGATGTTTATACACTTACAATATATCAAAATCTTCATAGCATACATAAATTAAATTATATATGCGCTTGACTTTTTCATACTCCATAGATTCTATCGTGTCATCCACAGACATCTGCAGGCTAAATCATAAATGAATAAATAAATGGTGCGTGTTTCAATCCGCAATATGTCGAATTATTGTACTACCTATCGATGTTCACCGGTGCACGTTGCTTGCACGTCCGGGCAACACCCTCACAGGGGCAGCTGCAAGGGGTGTTGCCCGGACGTGCGAATAACGTGCACCGGTGAACATCCCTATACATATAATGTATTAAAATGAAACTGTAAAACATAATCCAGTATATGATCCTGAAGTTTCAACTTGACAGGAAACCTCATAACAAGATTTTAATTTACGACTTCGCTGTATTTTGACGAGGTCTTTACCCGGGATGCCCGAGTATCTCATATATCCGGTCCAAATCAATAGCTCCAGTAGGAAACACTCGGGTTCTCGCGTACCATAAAGCGGAGGAAACTTAGCGCTGCAAATGGGATACCGTGATTTAAAGGCGAACAAGAGGAAAGAAGGTTAACGCCTCCTGCGAGATGCCGGAAATAGAGAGCGTATTTATCGATCGGAGCCACGTTCAGGGTATTCATACGGAATAGGTACGCACTGATGGCCGATTACCGCCTGTGATCTATAATGGATGGTCGTTTAAATCGTAACGCGAGAACGTTTTTGTGTCTCGTCGCGTAAATAGTCTGCTCGGGCCCGTTAAACCACGATTTCGGCCCTTTGTGACAGTGTGCTCAGGACCGTGCGAAATTTTATGCTAAACTACCCGTTGACATTTAAACGACGGCTTACCTTCAGTCCCGAAATTATGCGATACGTTAGTTCGCCGGTCGGGGCCAAATCGTGTCTCGTGTCGACGTTACATTTAGTTCTTGGACACTTTTCAACAGGGTATTGTTTATATTTTGCTACGGTGCCTCGTGTAGTTGCCCCGGACAGATATGCAGTCTGTTTACTCTTCTTCGCGAATTGAATTCTGTTATTTTCGGAAAGAAGACGAGATGAAGTCACCGGAGGTGTGTGGGGCATAGTTTATTGCTGCCTGAGGGATCCATTTTCCCTCGTGTCACCGTGTATTTCACGCGCTACAGTGTTGCTTTCCAAATGTAAATCATTTTCTTTAGTACTTTCCTCCCGGTTGTTGCGGCCAGTATTGGTACACGTGAGCGAGTTACGGTAGCATTGCTTACTTTTAACGTCGCTTCGACTGATCCGTGCAACACTTTACGTTGCTACTTTGTTATTCGTACTGTCCAGCGATAAGTCCAGGAAGCAATTGTAAATAACGCCTGTGATATAAAGATCGTCATGTTATCCTCTGCAACCATGCTGCACATTATTTTCCTGATTTTTCAGAAAATTTGTATTTTTAGCGTACGAAACAAATTTTTCAACTGCAAACGACTCTTGCTGAAAATAATTTATCCTTTGATTTAACTTTCGTATGGAATCATATGTATTTCGAAATCTTTGCGATTGCATGAAGATTAGTGAAACAGTAAACTGCAGTAACAAAAATTTGTGTGGCATATATATACATATATATGTATTTCTTGTGGATCAAGGAGTTAAAGAAATTCAGGGAACAAAAAAGAAAAATGAATGAAGCAACAAATGCAAGATGTGCTAGACTTAAATGATCTTTATACTCTTGACGATTGCACCCATATTTACGCAGTGCATACTTTTTATCGCAATTAAATTGCAACGTTTGCAGACGCAACGATAAGTTATCGAGGTGCATTCCTAAGGTGCATCGCAATATCCTTCCGAGTACTTAAATTCGTCTGTTTACCGGAGTAAACCAACACAGACAACAGTTACTTGTTTGACCGAGTCTTACGTATGTATCCACTTGTTAGGCACAAGTGTCGCCGACGTCGCGTGGTAAACACTGTTGAAAAGCTGGCGTGAACGCGACTGTCCCGTGGGAGACGAGCGTCTAAAACTAGCTTCTAAAACTTGCTGGCTCCACGAATGATTCAGAAGATGTTTCGTAGGGCACCCCACGTAGTCACCCTCTGACTAATCCGCAAACAAAACACGAGAGAAATATCGCTGTAGCTTTCTCCAATTAGGGCTTTTTGCTTCTATAAACTGAGACGTCCACGATGATGCTGAGTAAGAAGTAGATACAATAAGTCTAACTTTGTTGCTGTGAACGTCGTACTGTCGTTTCAATCCTTTAAGCACTGCAGATGGATATATTCTATTCATGCAAGTTGTATAATAATTTATACATATATGTTATACGTACTCATATTGTAAGTAACAGTACAGCTGTTATAGCTACATACATAGTTATAGTTATACTGTTCTATAAAAATGCAAGGTTTTAAAGCTTCTAAATCCTAATTTATGGAATTCAAAAAATTCGTGAAATTCAACAATTTTCGATATCCTAAGGTTATCTCAGATTTTTGGAAGTTCTGAATCTCAAAATTTCGAAGTTTGAAAATTTCAAATTTCCTTCATTTCAAAATTTCTTGTTCCTCAAATTTCCAATGTTTTAAACTCTAAAGCAAAGTCAAAGTTAAAAAATGTAAAAGTTCCAGAAATTCGAAACTTGTAAACTTCATGGTCCCAAAGTTCCATTCTGAATTTCGTATTCATCGCAATCCATTAGGCAGAAGTTAAAACGATCTGACGGTTGAAACGTCATAGCTTTGACAGTATACACCCACATCGGCAGAAGATACACATTTAGTGAACCTCATGGGCGGATGTTGCAACCGGTTAAAAATTTTGCTACGTCAAAAATGGATCGTGACCAGTCTGCGGAAACAATTATTTCAGCAACCGATTCGGTCGAAGTACCGTTTGCGGCGACTAATTTTAAACCCGGCACCGGCATTTTTTAATCGTCATTCAGTACAATTCATTTGGCAGTCTTGCAACCAGATTGCGGTT